ACATCAAAGATTAATAGGAACAAAAATGAATCTTACATTGACTACAAAGGAAAATTGAAAGCTGCTAAAGAATTTCAATATGACTACAATTGTAACTGCCCGATGAAATGTTCTGAGTTGATTTCTACAGAGTCACGAAAACAAGAATTTGATCGTTTTTGGAGTCTTGGGTCTTATAATGCCCAAACTATCTTTATTGCCAATAATATCCACGAAATGCCGAAAAAAAGAATGTATGGAAGAAACACTGAAAGACGTCTGTATTCCAGACAATATTCCTTACTTAATCAGCGTATTTGTAGGCAAATGTTTATCAATAGTCTTAGAATAACTCCGTCAAGAGTAACAACAGCTCTGAGAAAGGTAAACAATCGTGCTCCAATTCTTGATCAAAGAGGTAGAAAACAAGGTGGTTTAAACAAAGTCCCTGAAAATAAAATTCAGGAAATAATCAACCAGATCAATAAACTGCCTAAGTACATATCGCACTACTGTCGTGAAAACACGTCTGCATTATTTTTACCGGCACATCTCTCATTATTAAAGATTTATGATCTATACAAATCTGAAGTTCAAAACCCTGTGAAATTTGGTATTTATAAGAGGATTTTTTACGAAAAATTTAATTTGAGATTTAATGTTCCCAAGAAGGACACATGCCAGGTATGTGATTCATTTAAAATAAAACTAGAAAATGAAACGGATGATCATAAAAAGCAACTTTTACAAATTGAACTCGACACTCATCAGGATTTGGCCCAAAAATCACGAGAAACATTAAAGGCAGATTTAAAACGAGCTAAAGATGAGGATAATGTAGAGTGTTTAACATACGATCTTCAAAAAACTCTACCTTTACCCAAAATTCCAACCAATGTAATATATTATAAGAGGCAAGTTTGCTTGTATAATCTCGGTGTATTTTCAGGCAAACGTAATAAGAGTTATTCCTATGTATGGCTTGAAGGAACTGCTGGAAGAGGAGCTCAGGAGGTTGGTTCCTGTATTGTAAAATATTTAGAAAACATAGAAAGTACTGTTGAACATCTTATATTGTGGTCTGATTCTTGTGGAGGCCAGAACCGTAATATTAAAATAACACTCCTCATGGCCAGTCTTCTTCAAACCAGCCATAATATAAAAACTATAACATTTAAATTCCTGATTTCCGGCCATAGTTTTCTACCAAATGATAAAGATTTTGGGGATATAGAATGTCAACTCAAACGTCAAGAACGAATATATACACCTTTAGACTATATAAATATAATAAATTCATGTCGTAAAAAGTCTCCAATAACAGCTACACAAATGAAAAAGGAATGGTTTTTGAGTACCCACCAGCTCGAGAAGGCCACAATAAACAGAAAAGTTGGCACCAATAAAGAAAAAATAAATTGGTTGGAGACAAAACAAATTATATTAACAAAAGAAAATCCTTACCACATCTTTATGAAACCTAGTTATTTTGGCGATGAAAGTGTATGTTTGGATATTGAGCGACGAGGACGATTAAATACAGAGAGCTTTTCGGCGCTGCTTATGCAACTCTGGCCCAATGGTAAACCCCTGTCAGAGGATAAAATTAACGATATTAAAAGCTATTTACATCTAATTCCTTCAGACGCTAAACCGTTTTATGAAAATTTTACAAGTGCTAATGTAGTCGAAGACGTTGATGGATTTAATGTTCCAGTTCTAGATTTTGAGGTAGATACCCACAATAATTAAAACTTTTTTTAAATTTACATTTACATAAGAAAATCATTGTAATTTTGTTTCTTTGGATCATTAAAATTTTTATAAAAATATGACATTATTTATTTATCTGAAAGATTCCAACCCACATAAGTATGTTTTATCGAAATTTTTTTCGGATTTTTGTTTTTTGTTAAAAACGTCCAACCTAAAATTTTCAAAATAACTTCATTGAAACTTACATTTAAAAGAAATTACAAACGAGGTGCCTACGAGATGAATATCATTATCTTAAAATCATTGCCAGGCGAATAAATTATGCATAGTTTAGCTAGGGCACACTAAAATCTTTTAAACTCAATTTCCCAACAATCACTTTTTTTGGGTTGGACGTTTTCTGCTTAACTACGTCCATATAGTCACAACAAGAGAAGAAAATATACACGAATGTAAAAACTGCGATATTCAGTGAGACTTTAAGCCTAAACTCACTGCATTTAATTTATAAGAGTATCAAGAAATTTTGTAATCAAAAATGAGAACGTAAATATAAAAATTCTATTATTAAACTGTAGCAGTTCTATTTCACCTAGTATGAGTTAAAACACCAAAAAATATTCTTAATCTTTTTACGTCTCTGAGATTGATACTATAAACATTTCGGGTCTGTATATAATAACACAAATTGGTATTTCTTTGATAGTGATGCCGCGTTAGTATATTTTGCACGTCAAATAAGCAGGATTTTTCCGTTTATGCTTTGTTTATATTGAGTTCTTTTATATCGAGGTCGAATGATGCCATTCTACGATGGTACGTCAAAGCGTTTGGTTCTATTATTTAGACCGGATTTTTTTCAAATTCGTTATTGTTATCGTTTTGTTATTTGTTTTTTGTTATCGGAAATTAGTTAGTGAGCAGTTAGTGGAAAAACAGAGTGAGAAGAGCGATTTGGATTTGGGAAGAGATAGTTTTCGTCGTGTAGTCATTAAAAGCCGGCAATTTTTTCAAGTTGAAAGGTGAATTTGGGCTCAAAATGCTATTTAGCGGTTTTTGTTGAGTTAATCACCGATTGGTTGTGTTGTGCACTATGTGGGAGACTTGTAAAACGGCGTTTCCAACCATTTGAGGGGTCCACATGGTTTAAAGAAGAAATTTAGTGGCCGAGTTTGTTGTCATCCAAGATAATATGAAACCCAAATCAGTGTCCAACTTTCGAAGAATTGTCTATTCGTGTTTCATGGTCACTCCAGACCAATTCTAGTTTGTGTGGGTCACACTTGTGTGTTTGCAGAGCTTTGATTCAATTCCAATCTCAAAAACTTTCTTAAAGGCAATACACCAGCCAGTGATACCAGTGGTACTTTTTATTAAAAGTACTTAAAGTAAAAATAACATTTTTTTATTAATATTAATATAATTTGCTATCACGACAAACTAAAAAATTATAAGTATTATGAATTAGCTTATTGTCATATTAGTCTTCTTTTCAATAAAATTAATTTTAATGTTTCCAATAGGTTTGATATTTCATTTCTACACTTATAACCGTTAGTATTATCCTTTTCTGATATTTGGTACATAATCATAATTTTGAATTGTTTTGTTTAAAGGTTAACCTCAATGTAAGCTTCGTTGAAAAATTAAGATATTTTTCATTTTATTAATAATTTCAATTCCTAAAAGTATCGCCCAACGTTTGGAGCTTGTTGTAAATTGTTAACAATGAATTATTGATAAATTTTGTTAATATTATGTGTAATAATCTTATAATATTATGTGTAACTGTTGATGTGTAGTAATAATAAATATGTATGTTTCTCCATAAACCAGGAGTAGTAGAATCATTTCCTTAAAAATTTTTAACCCTTTAATAGTTTTTAGGAAAGAAAAGCTTTTTTCTATCCAGAAAGAGGAATATTTTAAACGGCGTAAAACATTCTTAAGTTTTGTTGCCCAGAAAATCTTTTTAAGTATTTTTATTTTTTTAGTTTCTTTGTAATTACCGCTTCCAGTCTCTCCTTTATTCACTTACTTACGACCCAGCTCTCCAACCAAAACAAGGGTGGCCGTTCGCAAACGTTTCGGTTTGTTTGCTTGCCCTATGTCCAGCCCAATAATTGCCCAGTCCTTACTTTTAACTCCCTATAAGTGATACCCAATGTGGTAGGCAAATTAAATTATTACAAAACAAGGAAAGTACATTTCAGAGGCACCTGGTGCACCTGCGCCTGGTCTCCTGAATTTTTGTGTAAATTTAATACAAAAATCAGTTTAAATTGGAAACTGTAGAGTTTTGTGGTTGTTGAACACTAATATAATATCGGCGAAGATCTTCGAGGCACCTGGGACCCAGGATGAACCTCGTTTCGTGAAGTTTGTGCATTAGAGTGCATTGGAGACTTATTGTGTATAGAATTTTCACAAAACTCTAGGAACCAAGGCACGTCCTGGGCACCAGATGTCTCTCTCAATATTCCCGACATAATGTTAGTATTCAACGAGTCCAAAAATCCCGTAAGTAACGAGGTTGTACTGATTTTGTTTAGAATTTCCAAAAAACTCTAGTGTAACCTAGAATGCACCTAGTTGCATTCGTTTTCAATGCATCTTTCTTGTCCAATAATACAATTTTTATTACTTAAGTAATAAAGGTTTTGGGCTTTTTATTACTTAATTAATGCTGGATGTTAAAAAATTACCAAAAAAGTTAATCTAGGAACAAAAGTAAAATAATAAAGTAAAAACATGCACCATGCAAAGACGTAAAAAACTTATTATTTAGGAATTGTGATGTAACAGTGGAAATAGATTGGAATTACTTTAAGCAATCTTGTAAGAAAGGAGAAATATGTCATAGTTGGAAATACTCAAGGACACAAAGAAGGGGTCCACCAAAGAACGCATAGAACCAGTTGAGAAAGAGGCTAAAAGAGTAGAAAAATGTTGGATATACTTAAAAGAATTAACATACGATCGATAGTGGGAGTTAAAGGAACTAAGTAAGTTCTAAAGCAAAATATTAGAAATTGCGACTAAAGCTTGTTGGTCGATAATAAACACATGTAGTTTCTAAAAAAAGTATGCTCACGCTACAAAAATAAAAGATTTTCTACGACAATTAGGATATGGAGGATAGGTTTAGTTATCTACCGTAGATATACGGTAGATAACTAAACTTTTACACACTAAATAGAATATGGTATTCTCCATTATAAATTCTATTTATTACTTACCTCTCAAAACAGGGTATTATACCAAGTCAAAAGTTTTATTGTAACTCAAATTTAAATATTATTTACCGTAATTACAGGCTGATACATCGATTAACCCATTTGGAAGGCTTGGTGTGCCATGATAGCAATCTTCGGTGTCAGGAAAAATTCTGTCATAAAAGTTTGGTTCCATTTCATATCTGTAACCGTTCAGACTGTACCTTTCGATATCTCCTGAAAAAATAAACCCAAGTTATTATTAGGTATACTTAGTATAGTAAAAGTAGGGTTTTATATTTAACACTATAAGAGAGACCGGGGCTTGTTGCTGCAGAGGTAAGTAGCCGCAGTAGCTTTTTATTATAAATATTATATATATGCAACGATGCGATGTTAGATATACCTACGTGACCCTAAAGAGCAGCTTCAACTTTATAGAGACTCTTACTTATGTCAGAGCAACAAAGCGAAGTGCACGTATTTGAGTAAAAATACATTAAGAGTAAGTAACTTTTAATACTCAAAGTATGATTTTAATATCTTTTAAACTTTTGGCACTTTAACCTTTATTTTGGAATATTATTGCAATATTTTGGAACATGTTGGCGCATATAATGTATTTTATGTTTTACTTTAGTTTAACTAATTTATATTATGTCATACTAGTTTATTATTGTGTTCTTGTTACTTAGTTAACAATTACGAAATAGTGTTTTTATGCCCGCGCGGGCATAAAGTGTACTTTATGGCCCGCACAGTTCCACTAATGTGTTTTACATGGTTTTATGTCATCCAGTTCAGTAAGTTTTCATATTCCTTGTCGTATTCCTTCCTCTTGAATTATATGGTAGTAACTTTTACATTATTTTTTCCGCTTTTTTTAAATTTGGTTGAATGTTCGGATTTTGTAACATATTTATTTGAAGATGCAATAACGAACTATTATGACACAAAAGTTTGTAGTCATCTCCGGTAATAATAGATACCTTCGAGTTTTGCGATATCGTCGCCCTCTGGGCATAAATATCTATTTAATAACCTTAAAACATAAATAACTATTAATAAACTTAATTTTTCATATTCCCTGTTGTAGGCATCTCTCGACTTATATGGTAGTAACTCTACGTTGTTTTTTCCGCATTTTTTAAAATTTGTTTAGGGATCTAAAAAATATCTTGCATTGTTACGGTTTTAGTTTGACACGTTTGACAGTATTTCCATAACATAGCAAGATAACATGGACTATAACGGCCAGTTTCACAATCAGTGGTTAACCCCAGGAGTTAAGTAACCTTTACCTGTAATTCCACTGACAGATGTCGTTTCACATTCACAGATTCGGTTATGGTCACTTAACCTTAGGTTTCTTTTTATTTTTCTTATGTTGGTAGAAAATTATGGGCAATAATCAGATTTTTATGGAATATTGTCAGTAAATATTAGGGACCTTGACCACTATAGATGAGTTATGACAAATTTGTCACGTTAGATCGAAAACGATATACAAAAATTATTCTCATTTTTAAGTTCTGTTCTAGTTTGGTAGTTTGTTCCTACGTAGTCGTTGTTTGTTTTTCCAAGTTAAAATTAAAATTATAAAATGGAACCCACAAAATATTCACGAGATTGGTACTTTCTGCCAGAAGATCTGAGCATAAACATCTATTTAATACCCTTAGTACATAAATAACTATTTTCAATACTTTATTGTAGAAACATGCAGGTGTACAAAAATAATTAAGCGAGGAACAACCATGTTATACCCAAAGCGGCGAAACTGATAACAAAGAATTTTTTTTTTATTAGAGGCTACTTTATTTTTTGTGGCTGATATAGTTGATTAGAATAGAAATACCTATGCCCCAAAAAAATATACAAAAGACATATCTAGGGATAAAATGTTCTGCTTCATCGGTGTATTACTGGTTAGTGATTATTGCTCTGTTGCTAGAAGACAAATGTATGTGCACAATTCTGATGATACATATAATATAGTAGTCTATTCAGGCATACCTACGAATCAGTTTAAATATATCGTGACAAATATTCACTGCTATAATAACACCCAATTGGAAAGGAAAAATAGGTTCTCTAAAATAAGACCAATAAGACTCTATATGACGATAGTATAATATGCAATTGGAATAATAATAGTATCGTTAATTTGGCATCGAACGTGTCTTAAGTTTTCCGCCTAAATAAAGTAAAACGACTTTCATAATTTGATAAAAAGTACATATATAAAAATCAGCCTAAGCCCTTCTCTACTATGAAAACATGGTTGGAGTTGATAGAACCGACCAGAATATTATTCAGTATCGTACAACTTTACGAGAAAAAAACTAGTACTTTCCGTTGATATCTTATTGTGTTGATATGGCAGTTTAGAATTCATAACATATGCAAAAACAGGATGGTGAAAAACTTGACCAGTTATCATTCCGAAGCGCTATTAATTGCAGTTAAGCTGTTAAGAAACACCCAAGTGAACCACCAAAAGGAGTCCTTTAAAAGCACCAAGCAATCAATGAGAACACAGGTTACGATAGATTTGGTTATTTAGTAACCTATCAAGTACAGAAACGAAGATGAGTGCACTTCCATATAAAGTCAAATTTTATTTGTAATAAGTGTAACGTAGTCCTTGAGCCTAAATATTGATTTTATAATTATCACACCCAATCAATATAAATTGTACTTACTAGTAAATATAATTTTGGAAAAAAATGTATTTATTTAAAGTAACTTAAAATCTTACTGTCCTTTTAAAAGAACACCAAAATATGGCCAATCTAGAGGTCGAATATTTTTTAATTCATGGGTTAAGAAGACTTTTGCTAAATGGGTTAAGCAAACTTTTGCTAAAAGTAGACAATACGTATCGGTTATTCTAAACCATGAAAGTAGGAAATCTCTTTTTGTATAAGTATACGTCATAATTTTCACGTGAATTAATTAATTGCAACTGTTTACTTATATACGAGAAACCCTGCTAGCCTCTTATGTTCTTAATACTGCTGATATTCACTATGGTTTAACACCAAAGCAGGTAAGAGCTTTTGCTTACAACTATGCTGTAACCCTAAAGACAAATTTTCAGCCACCATGGAATGAGAAAAAATTGGCTCGCGAAGACTGGTTCCCTTGTTATATGGAACGACACAGAATATTATCGATATAAACACAAGAAGCTACAAGTTTTTTCGCAAGAACTACAAGTTGTAATAAAATTAATATAGAATTTTTTTTTAAACCTGAGCACTGTTTTATATTGTCGTTACATTGGACTACAAGATATAATATAATAACAACGAAACTGTAGATACTACAGTTTAAAAACTGAAAAGAATTGTGACCAGAAGAGGATTTAAACAAATAGAACGAATTACCGCCTAAGAAGAAGGAACACTGGTTACTCTAGTCATTTCAGTTTCAGCTTTGGGAAATAACATTTCTCCATATTTTATATTTCCTAGGGTGAATTTTAGGAAACCCATGTTAAACAATGTTTCGCCAGAAAGTAAAGAAAAATTGAATTATTCGGAGTGGATCTAGCAGCATTTCATTTTTTTAAATAGTGTAAACATTTTGGTAGCATGTTAAGTGTTCCACGAAAAAACTCGTTCTGTTGTTGCTGGATAACCATAAATCTCACCTGTCTATTGCTGCTCTAGATTTCCTAAAACAAAAGGGCGTCAGAGTGTTTTCTTTTTCTCCAAACTATTCACATAAAGTGCAGCTATTGGACATATTAGTTTGCGGACCGCTTAAAATATGTTAACACCGCCTGTGATTCTTAGATTACAAATCATCCTGGCATAGTCATGTCAATTTATAACATCCGTGATGTTGTTGCAACTACAATGCCTTTAGCTATTGCTTCTAAAATGCCGGCTTTATGATGATATAATATACTTTTCATAGAGATATATTTTCAGAAATAATTTTGTGCCATCATATTTTACATATTGTATAGACTCACAAAGTAGTAATTTAGACGAAAATGAAGAGACTGAACATCACGTTTAGATAAAAAAAATGTAGTTGTCAAATGTCATTGAATACGAAGGAATTCAATTTAGAGTATGGGAGCACGTACACCAGAAATTACCTCTAAAAAGGTAACTCCTCACAAGTTGAGAACCTTTCTAAAGCAGTTCACAGAAACATCAAAAAGAGGTAGATGTTGCTTAACGGCAATATTGACTGATCCACCTATCAAAAACACCTTTAGAGAAGAGCAACTCTAAAAGATTCAATCAAGAAAACAATAATTTTCTCGAGTCCCAAAAAACGTCCAAACTTACAAAACATCATCGAGTATGTGCTGATTCTACAGACAACGAAGACTGTTGTACCTTCACTGTTTCGTCACCTTTAAAAACGAGAGGATTTCAGTACAGTGCTTATGAGAAGCGACATTGCCGCTTAGGCCACTAGGCACGTTTATAGTCTGCAGGTGTGATACAGGACCGCGTTGGACCTCCTGTACGAAAACATTAAATCATGCAATCCTATTAGAAGTAAATGTAACATTATTTACAATTTCAAGATTTTGCAAAATACACAAAATGTAATAAAACTATTTTCTTTAAAATCTTTTTTACTAAATTATACAGGGTGTAACAAAAGAACGGAGTCTACTAGGGAAACTGATGCAAAAAAATTCGTAGCTCCGTAGTGGCTACAAATTTAAATTGTTAATTTATATACTAACTTGGATTAATTATAACTATTAACAGTCTCAACAATTATTACAAAGAAAAGTGTGTATACACCAAAGAATAACATTACGCTAATAAAAGAACGTTGGATGGTGGAAAGGTGCAACGAAATAGAATAATTGCAGGCAAAAGGAGATAGTTTTGGACTACATAAGAAGATCAAAGAAATATCGAATATACACAAAAGCCACCACAGAACAAGAATACGCAACGACAGAAACGAATACATAGAGTCAGAAGAGGAGATAGCAATGGCGTGGAAAGAATACGCACAAAGACTTTTTAATGACGAAAGACTAACACAACCAACGCGCAAACTTCCTTCCGAAAACTTATCAGGGCCATCATTAATGCGAAGTGAAATAGAATATGCAGTTAGAACCACAAATATGCATAAAGCAACAGATCCAGATAATATTAATATGGAAGCAATAAAACTACTAGACGAGGAGAATATCGAAATCTTGGTAAGGCTGTTCAATAGAATTTATGATACTGGTTACATTCCGC